TGTGGGATTGAATTGCAAATGCTGGAGAGGAACGTTCCAGCCTGGCCCATGCATCACGGGCTGCTGACCTCTGCTGTGTTTCAGTGAGAGCTTGAACAGCCCCAGAGCTCTCTTTTCAAGGCCTGGAGGGCATTCTTTCCCAGAGACCAGCTGTAAGCCTGGGTTTCTTATGCAAAGGAGACGTTTGAATAAACCTCTGTGACTAATGAAATCTGCAAGGTCTTTGCATATCCTCTCACTGAAGAGGTAATTAAGCAAAGATCAAATATGGGGATATATACGTATTTTTTTCAAACATTTTTTTTTTGTCTTGCAGTCACACCCAAGAAAAAATACATCCCCACACCCTGAAAGCTCTCCCCTCCTTGCCCTCAGTCTTTGTCTGCCTCAGGCTGTTTCTGTCTTCCTCGTTCTATGGTGCCTGCAGCTGCGGTTATAGCCAGAGCCACACCTGTCGTACTCGTTTGCCAGTTTTTATTGAAACAGAGAAACACTTCTCTGATTTCGAAGTGTGACATGGCTTTTCCTAGTGTTCAAAGTGTCTATCTCCAAGTCCATGTCTTCCATTCCTGGTGAGCTCAGGAGGAGAGGTGGGGAGTAAGAAAATAGCACAAGGTGAGGCTTCCTCTTACAGGGTGCTCTGAGTGGCAAATCTAAACCTTGGCTGCACCTTAGAATCACCTGGGGCGCTCCTTAAACTTCCATTCCCAGGCCATGCCCCAGACCAATTAAATAAGAACCTTCAGGGGGGTGGGACCCAGGCACCAGTATTTTTTTAAAGGCTTCCCAGGTGATTCAAATTGCAGCCAAAGTTGAGAGCCATTGTTCCAAGAATAGCTGCCTCCTTCTCTCCATAAAAGCTGATAAAGACAATTTTTTTCCAACAGTTAAGCTGAGTTAGAAATGATTGATTTCTCTTTTTAAACACTGCTTACATGACTCGTATGTCCATCCATCCATCCATCATCCATCCATCCATCCATCCATCCATGCATTCATTCACCCACCTACCTATCCATCCATGCATTCATTCACCCACCTACCCATCCATCCATCCCTTCATCTATCCATTCCATATTTTACTCGCTACCTGCCATGTGCCAGGCCTGGTGCTGGGTATTCATTGTCAGACAAAACAAAATCCCTTCCTTCAAGATGTGAAAAGTTAAATCATGGGGGATTCAGCTGAGTAAATGGATCCCAGTACCTTGTGGAGGGGGTGGTGAATAAGTCCAGAGGCTGTGGGAACAGAGAGAATGACTTTTACCCCAAGAGGAGCAGGGGGGCAGACGCTCAGAGGAAGTGGTATCTACATGGAGACTTGAAGGACCAGTAGGGTTTGGCCAGAAGAAGAGGTGGGTGTGGTTGAGGAAGGTGTGCAATAAGAGGGAAATAGAAAGCCAAGGCTCTCTAAGTCACTTAATGCAGCTGAGCACAGAGTGGCAGTGGAGGGAGTAGGAGAGGAGGCTTGAGGCACCAGGTGGAGGAGGCTGGCGGGGCCATATCACTAAGGGCCTCATCAGTGGTGTTAGGAGGTGGAATCTATCCCAAGGGCAGCAGGGAGCCATGGAAGGGTTTTCATCAGGAGAGTGGCCAAGCCACACTAACTCCAGGTAGGTCCCCGGTAGACAGTGCTGGAAGCATGAGATTTGCTGCCTTTCTGAGATAAAACACAGAACCTTCCATCTCTTCTTGATAAGGACAGAGGAGGGCTCTATATTCTTAACTGCCGTGGCTCCAACCTCATCTCAAGCTGAGCTAGACCCATGGCTTCATATGTCTTCTTACAGACCTCCTGGCTGGGCAATACCCTGTATCCCCTGGAAATAAGCAGCCTCTACCAGGCACCTCCCTTGTTCTCTTTGTTCTTTCTATGACTGAGGCTGGGGAGAAGGAGTACAGGCTTGGGGGTCAGACAGGACCCACCTCCAGCCATCACCTTTGCCAACTCTCTTTGCTTCCTCAAGACAAGCAAGTCATTTCACCTCTCGGAGCCTTGTTTCCTCATCTGTTCATGGTCCTTTTGTTACTGGGTCTTCATGAGACTGCAAATATAAAACTGAAGGTGAGGAAAAGCACTTGGCACTGTTCTTAGCACATGGTTTGCACCGTAATTGGGACTTAGTAAACACTAATTCTTTCCCCCCTCCATCACTGGGGGGCACTTGGTCTCCCCACTCCTATTCACTACTCATTATCCCTGTCATATACAAAACCAGTGCAGTTACAAAGCCCTTTCATGTCCTCTGGTTCCCATCTAGTTCACTCAGAATAAAAACCAAAATCCTGAATGGCCTGCAAGGCCCCACATGAGCAGATCCTCCAAACCCTCCACTGCCTGCTGATCTCATCATCTCCTTCTCTCTTCCTCACTCATTCCATTCCAGTCGTACCCACCTCCCCCCGCCAAGCACACTCCCACCCCAGGGCCTTTGCACTTGCTGTTCGCATAGTTTGAAATGCTTCTCTCCAGATATCCACCTACATCCTCCAGACCTAAATATCTGGTTCGCTATTTGTTTGTCATTTGCTCCCCTACCCTTCATCAGAATATAATTTCCGTGAGGTCAGGGTACAGTTTCTTCTGCATTGTATCCCAAGCAGCAGACACAGCGTCTGGCCTGTAGCAGGTGTTGGATAAATATTTGTTGAATGAACAAATGCCTAAACAAACCCATTACCTCATTTGGTCCTCGCAATAGCCCATTTGACAGATGAAAAATACTAATACCCAAGTTCCTCACCGCAGTTGCACAGCTGAGCGAGGCTGAGCTAGACCCAGAGCGTCCGCCCCAGCTCGCCTGCACGCCACAGGTGGTACATTCCTCTGCTGCTGAGCGATCTCATACCATCAGGATTTCCCCTGACCTTTAGCCTGAGAGGAAATGATATCGCCCGCAACTGGATGAATACCCAAAGGGCCAGGAGCTGGCAGCGAACACCCGGCAGCTGCAGGGAGTGTGTGAGTGGATTCCGGGTTGGCCCGGAGGCAGCGGAACGAGCAGGATGCAGGCGTGGAGCCTCCCATCTCCACCTGGCTGTAGCGGGACCTTCTCTACAGGAGACCTGGCAGTTACACCCACTGCCCAGGTCACGGTCACGGAGAGGGAAAGTGATGGCCTGCATGTAAGGAGTTGGGAGCGGGATCACGTGGCTGTCTGCAGGGTCATCCAGGCCCAGGGGTTGGGCTCATGGTGCCATGTGAGCCTTGGTTGAGCAGTGCGGGAAGCCTTTATCTGTGGGGACAGGGAAGACCACTGGGTGTCTGACCAGGAGACTGTGTTCTGAGCCCTCAGCTTCCCTGATGGGCTGGGCAACCCTGGGCTAAACATTTTGTGCCTCAGTTCTCTCCTCTGAAAATGGGGTTACACATGAAGTGTTCTAATCAGGGTTAAAGGGGAGACTGGGAAACTGACTTGTAAGCTGTAAGTTTCTAAATAAATGCAAGGAATAATTTTTTTGTTTAAACATAGATTGTTCTTCGGTTGTTTTGATGTGGTTTCGTGTGTGTAATAGTCTCTCCTGGACATAGTCTTTGTCCTCAAATCTGCTGCCTGGTGTCACTACCCACCCAGTTATTCAAACTCCAAGGACAGGTGGCATTGGCGGCCCCTCTCTTTCCTCAGATCGAATCCACCAGCCCTACCTGCAAGCTCTGCCTATGACTGTTCCCTAACACGACAGGTCTCAGCACCTCCACTGCAGTGTCCGGCCCACGCCACCACCCTGTCTCACCTGGACCCTTGCAAGGCTCCTGACTGTTCAGCCTGCTTCTGCTTTTGTCTGCCTGTGTCCCAGAGCAATCTTGGTAAAACACAGATAAAAACACATTCCTTTCCTGCTTTAAACCCTCTGCAGGGTTCCTGTGACAAAGAGAATAACATCACAAAACACAGCCTGGCTGGCAAGGCCCTGTGGACTTGCCTCCCTCTCTAGCCCTGTTTCCACTTGCCCGCCGTGGCTGTGCCTCTCATGACAAGCTCAATCCCCATCTAGGCTCCTTCTGGATTCTTCCCCTGTGGAGGATGCTCTGGCCAGATCTCCCCATGGCCAGATTCTTCCTGCCTTTCAGATCTCACTGCCATCCCACCTCCCCCAGGCCCCTCTCCAACTACCAGATAAGCAGCTCCTCCCATCACATTCTATCACATACTGGATTTGATCTTCTTCAGAGCATTTTCCAAACCTGCAATGATCTCATTCATGAATTTACTTACCTGCGGTTTATGGTCCAACTTTACATTTAGAATGGATATGTCTTGAGAGCAGGAACTCACCTGCCTCATTCACTGCTGGATCCATGGTGCCTGGAACTGCACCTGGCCCATAGTAGGTCAAACGTATTTGGTGATTGGCCACATTCCTGGTAGAGACAAATGTTAACACAGTTTATAAACGATGGCTACTAGCAAACATGTACAAGCATCACTGTCCTTTGTGAACAGAGTGTCTATGGAGTCTAATTTGTAAGGTCAACACAGTAGGTTCCTACACGGAGACTTACCCAACAGAGGAAACTCGAACGCCGAGAGAGTGCACAGGGTAACAAAGGCAGCAGTCACGGGACACATCGAGCATTCAGCAGCACTGAGCACATCTCCCTGCGTTCTGCACCAGGCGGGCTCCAGGCCCAGAGAGGATGCTATTTGCATTTGGCCTTTCTTATGGAGGTTGAGGGGGTGAGGAAGCTGAATTTGGGGTTGCCTGGTAACTTTGTAAATTTGATTCTGGGTGCCCTTGAGCTGATCCAGGAGAGTTATTCTTTTATTAATTTGTGAATGATGTGTGTGGTTATTTAAAAAAGCAGGTTTGTTTTTGCTCTCACATCTAGAATAGTGTGGGGCCATGTGGTAAGGGCTCAGTTGATTTGTGGAACGAAGCTTACGGATCCACAGTGATTCTGATCATCCCCAGGTGACCAGGTTTGCTCCCTCATCCCTTGGTGCTCATGCAGAGAAGGCTGATGTGTCCTCACGCCTCTTTCTTCTCCATTCCTCTAGGTGGGTTTGAAGAGCAGGCATCTGAGAGCAGCCCAAATGCCACAGCCACGGACACTGGCACCAAGGAAGCTGGAAAGGGTAATGTGAGCCCTCACCAGGTCTTTGGGTACCTTGTTTTCTTTCAGTTGTGGAAAAATACACGTGACATAAGACTTACTATTTTTAAGTATAGCCTTTAATGGCATTAAGTACATTCACAATGCTATGTAATCATTACCCCTATTGAGTTCCAGAACTTTTTCATCACCCCTAAAGCAGATTCTGTACTCATTGAGCAGTCACTCCCATTCTCCCTTCCCTAGTGCCTGGCCTTGGATAGCTCTTATGGAATCTTTTCCTATCTCAGTGGCTGAAATGGACTAGAAGCACTGAAGTCTGTGGACGTGAGCAGGGCTGGCATGCTGCTGGCAACAGGGATGGAAGGGCAGCATTTAGTGGTCAGGAACGGTATGGCTCTCAGATAAACTCTGCTCTCTTGGCTGGACTTTTCTGCCTTGTGCATGGCTCGTGAGTCGAAGCCCCTGAAGACTTGGGATGGGCCGATTATGTGGCTTTGGGAACTGAGTGTCTGAGAGAATGAATGGGTGAGGGAGGCAAAGAAGGAAAATAAAACTGGAGTGGGGATTGCGAGGGAGGTGTAGACTAGAGACCCCATGGGCTACTAAGTGGAAAGCAGGTGAGGTGCTGGTTGACTGTGGGCAGGGAGCCAGAAGCCTGCCCAGAAGCACCGCCACTGCCTGTCTGTATGCAGATGCTCAGACCTGAGTGTGGTCTGCTGGTTGTTTAAGAGTTTCTAGCTTGGAGATCACTGGACACATCTCCTATTTTGGAGAAGCTTCTCCTGTTCAGAAGCAGTGCTGGAGGAGAGGGGCTGCTGGACTTCTGTCTGGCCTGCATCCTGTAGGAATCATGATTCACCGTCAGCAGTGGTATTTCTTCTACACAAACTTCACAGCAAAGCAAAAGGAATAATTTTTAAATGCCAGAATCTTATGTCTCAGGGACGTCTATGTAGGAATGAAATAGAAATCATAATTTGTTTTGTGTTTCAGCTTTCATGCTATTTTACATTTTTACATGTATACTTGCATATATGTAATTTTACACAAATGCGTAAATGTGATAATATCATCATACTTTTAAAAGTGTTATCTTCTTTTTCTTTTCCCTTTAATGTGGCTACCTCCTTTCGGGTTCTTTCTCCACATATCAACCCTCTACGCTTTCCCAGGTTATGCACGCTAGTGACTTTGTATACAGCCTTCATATTTTTCTCTATGCACATACATTGATATATATACAGGGATAGACGCATATAAGCACACATCTGAACATAAATACAGATACAGGCTTTGTCATTGTTTTAAAACATAGAATCACATTTGATACACATTTTTTCTGCATCATGCTTTTGTCATCAATACTTCATGGGCACAACCCCTCCAAAGCACTTGCTATAACTTAAATGTATTCTTTTGAGTAGATATTCCTGGTATGGACGGATCATAATTTATTCAGTGTTTTCCTTATCAATTAGCATTCAGTTCACTTCAAGCTTTTGCCATCATGAACAATGATTGCTAGGTTGTGTTTCAAAAGGTGTAACAATTCACATTTCCATAGCAACTTATGAGTGTACTCCTCACCCTTTATTCTTAGCAGTAGGGAGAACTCATTTTCAGTGTTTTAACAAGTAAGCTGTGGCTTATTGATATTTAATTTGTACTCCTCTGACTGCTGATGACTTTGAACATTTTTTCCTATGTTTGTCAGTGGGACTCACCTCTTCCTGTCCTGTGCCCATTTTCCTATTGGGTTGCTAATCCTCCTCTTCAATTTGACTTCTTTTAGAGAGAGGCAGATCCTTTAGTCACCCATTTGACTTATCTGCATTTGTTTCTTAGCATATATACAGCTTGCTGTTTGGACTTTGTGCAGGGCTTGCTTTCAGATCCGTGTTTTTCTGCTTTGTTTATTTAAGGGTATTTTGACTTATAAATTTTTGGGTTCCCCAGACATCTGGTACTCAATGGTCCTTCTTCACTTGGCCACAAATGATCAGCACTTAGTGGTAAAAATGGAGCATGCATGAATGAATCCAGCAGGGTTTGTCATCACACTGCAGTGACAAAGATGCCACACTCATTTTTTCTTCCTTATTTATGTGATTTATTATTGCATAAAGACCACACCCAAACTTAGTGACTTCAAACAATGGTTTGTTATTTTCATGATTCTGGGGGTTGACTGGGCTCAGTGGGGTGGTTCTTTGGCTGATGCCATCTGGGATCACTCACTTGATTGAATTTATCTAGTAGGTGGACTGGACTGGAAGGTCCAAAAAAACTTTAGCTATACCTCTGGTGCCCCAGTGTACCTCCTTGTGGCCCTGCTGTCCATGTGGACTATCACCATTCAGTTGTCTTATCAGAAACTTTTCATAGCATGGTGATTGGCTTCCCAGAGGGAGGGAGCAGAAGCTGCCAGTCCATTTAAGGCCTGGACTCGAAACTTCAAGAATGCTACTTCTGCTACATTCTATTAACAAAATAAGCCAAAAGACCAGACCAGATTCGAGGAGAGAGAAATAGATTCTACTTCTTCATGGGAGAAGCGGCATGACCTCACAGGGATAAGGGGACTTGGCGACCATATTTGGAGACTATCTACCACCTTCTCCCCTTGCCTCTGCTCCCCAGCAATAGATATTGTCAGAGTTTTTGATATTTACTGGTTTGTTGGGTGTAAAATGACCCAACTATAAACTTGGACAGTCAGACACACTAGGGTTTGAATCCCAGCTCACCCACTTAGTAGCTATGACTTTGGATAAGTTATTTAACTGCTTGTATGAGGTTTAGAGGGAATTAGAAATAATATTTATGTAAAGCACATAGCCAGGTGTCTGGAACTTAAAAGAGGCTCAAGGAATGTAGCTCTTCCATTTCCTTCTCCCCACCTCCACCTCCAGGAATGATATTATCCAGCATTGAAAGTGCATCATCTACCTCTGGACTGGGATTCCACAGCTGTGCAACAGCTGCATGGAAACACAATTACAGAGGACAGGAAGGAATACGGCGGCTGTGGCCCATTAAAATTCTGCCTCTAGTGGGGTTGTGCACAGCACCCACACTGCAACAAAAGATCTTGGGCTTTTCGGGGATGGTGATGATAGCAGTCCCCCAGTCTGCAATTCCCCCAAATGGCCCTGGTTTGTTCGAAGCGGATAAGGAATGTGCAGGCTGGGCCAGTCCCTCCACTCTGCATTACAGCAGCAGACAAGCATGTCTTTAAGCATCCGGGGCAGTCCTGAGGAGGAAGGAGACCTCGAAGTGAGGTGAGGGCAGGCCGTTCTAGCCAGTCCCTCCATCCTTCCCATCCCATCCCTCAGGATGCTGTCGGCGCCAACCCTGGATGCCTCTTGCTTTCATTTGAATGAAAGATAAGACACGTTGTGTCAATCTCGGATTCCCTTTAATCACAACTTGCCCCCCTTCCACCACCCCCAGGAAAAGAGACCGCCCAGGCAGGAGAAAGGATCTGAGGGAAGCGCCCAGTTTCGGCAGCAGGTTTATTTCCTGGCATTATGTGGCTCCCCTCAGCCCTGACGGTGGGGATTTGTGCCTCCAGCTTTGGGGAGGGGGAAAAGGCTGAAATACTCACTCAGCATCCCCTCTGGCAGACCCTTTGGTCAGAAGGCTGTCCCTCCTCTGGAGATGAGAGCTCAGCATGCATTTCAGGGCTGATAATGGGATTAATGAAATGGAGTGTGCAACGGCTCCATGAATGAAGCTGTGACTGTTTTGATAGAGCCTGATTTCCAGAACCATTTTCATGAAAGAGAATGGATCTTTCACTTTCAGTAACATTTCCTAAGGGCTTTGTGTGAAAGCAAATAATAATGGAATCTGGTTGAACCAGAGGACAGGCATCCCACAAACTTGGGTGCAAAACAGCGCTCGATGCTGGAATTCCTGACATCACTTATGTCAGTTTACTTGGGTGTAACAACTGAGCCCCACGAACTTCAGGCCCTCCTTTTTAGCCCGTCTCAAATGCAGACTTTCATAGCCATTGTGGCAGCTCACACTGAGCCCTTACTCACCGCAGGCATTTGACATTCATTACCTGGGTCACCACGGCCCTGCAGCAGGAAGTGAGGCTCCGAAGGGGAAGTGATTTGTCCAAAGCCACATAGGTAGCAAATGGCAGCATTTATCTTGAGCTTAAGTCCCCCTGACCCCAAACCCCTTGATCTTAACCTTTGGGCTGTATCAGTGGTTCCCAAACTTCACTGAGCTTTGTAATCACCTGGGGAGCTTTAGAAACTGCAGGTGCCTTGACTCCACTCTAAGGCCAATTGATTCTCAGTCTCAGAGCAGGGAGGCAGACACCAGAATTTTTTAAAAGCTCCCCAGTTGAATCTAATGTGCAGCCAGGTTTGAGAACCACTGTGCAGAGTGATCTAGTCTCCCATTTACTAAGGGGCCTTCAGCCTTTCGAGACTGCTGCAGGTGAGGTGCAAATTCACCCGTCACCTTTGGAGCGAGGGTTGTGCAGATGGCTGGGCTGTCAGCGTGTTTACTTCCAGTGTGGGAATGACCAATTGCCTAATCTAAAAATTGCACTTCCTCACTGGAGAAGGCTGGCTCAGGCCTGGTTCTGTTTATGACATGGCTGTGCCTTCAGCTGGAAATAGAAGATTGAAAAGCAACAACCGCTTTGCTCTTTCAGAGAGGACAGGGCTCCTCCCGGAGCCAGAGAATTTAAATGGGCTTTATTCCCCCCTCAACCCTACCCCAGCGTGTTAAATCCTGTCAGACACCCTGAGCTCCTCTTCAAATGCAGGACTCTTGGCCATAATAAATAATTACATCCTTCTATTTGGACTCTGATTCCAGATAGTAGTAATCCAAGAAAATCCAATAATGACAGTTGCATTAAGATCCTTCTTCCAGGCTCAGCAGAACATCTGTTTAGACATATTTTTAATCGGCAAATGCTTCCTGTGTTGAGTCCTTAGCAAATTAAATTTCTCACTGGACCAAAGGGGAAGCTGTCATTCAATAACCCAT